TCCGCTTCTACAACGATTTAGGCCATCCCATCTGTAGAAATCTGCGTAGTGGCCTGTGGTTGCCTCGTTTCCTTGCTCAAAGAATCAAACATCGCACTTTCCGTCTAAGCGTATTGTCACGTTTTATTGAAGTCCTGTTCAAGCCGCTGGAAGACGTCCCTTACGATTTGAGGCCCTGTTATTTTGAAGCTTTGTTTTCGCTTCTGCATGAAACCACGGTGGAGCAACTAATGAACAAACTGAATCCGTGAGTTCTCCAAAAAGCTTCATTTTCTTCATAATTGTATGTGATATTTCGATGCACTTCGTCCAGCAATCCTGCCCTTTGGACACTAAAAGTTGGATGTTTCAGGGCATTTAATAGAGCTTCTGTTTTCGTGAAGACGTTGGCGCTGTCGTCAGTAGCACTTCTTGGAGCGGTCCAAAGTGCCAAATTAGCACTGCTACCGGAGACCTACAAGTTCGAGGACAAATTGCCGACGTCTTTAGCTGCTGGCTTGCCTCATTTTTCGGTGGGCATATGGAGGAACTGGGGACGCGACACATTCATTGCTTTACCCGGATGCTGTCTTATCACTGGTCGATTCTTTGAAGCACGGTACTTTCTTCTGTCTTAACGGCTGAAGTAGATTTAGTTGAACAGCTAAGCGTTATATTTAATCTGTCCAGAGGTAGTGGAGACACTTAAAAATTTAGCTATGGAAACGCGTACATATACTCATCAGAAAAGCAGCAGACTGTCGCCATTTACCGTGGGCGATGTGATCCAAGCAAGTTGGACATATTCCTCATCACTGATACATGTGAAAACTTATTTATTATTCTGCTTAGGGCTTCTCAAGCCAGCATAATTTAATTTTCCGGTCCAGGCGAAATCTTGCGCCGCGTCGGCAGTCTGTCCTGTGCTCTTCTAACATTGATAAAATTCAGAATTCCGCTTTGCTTTGTTCGCTTACGGTCTATTATTATGCGTTTTTTTGCAGCTATGCAATGCAAAAATGCATATTGACGTGGAGTTGTCTGTGTGTCCGTGTGTCTGTGTGTGCGTCTGTCCCGATTTTTAGTCTCAAGACCTATAAAAGCTACAGGGCTGAAATTTCGGGAACTTAATCTACATGCACATGGGGGTCCCAATCCCCAAAATAGGCGCCATCACCCGTATAGTACCTGCGCACGGGCCGCCAATATTTTTTTCGGGTAAGTTCATAGCTCGGGGATATGAGAAGCTACAGAACGCTGAAATCTTAGGGTGATGTTTCCCGTCCAAATAGGTATTCATGTTTTCTCTATGCCAAGCAAGCAGAGCTATCAAAAAGAAATTCA